GACTTCTACGTAACCTTTTTTAACCAAAGGTGACACAATCACAAGTACATAAAAACCGGAAAGGATTCCTCATTTTTCTGTGCTTTGGCTTTTTTCCATTAACTGTTTCCTTTGAAAGGAAACATGACATGTAAAGATGATCTTCCTTTATTCCATTTGTCTTACTTCCCTCACACAGTTGATTCTTTCACGAAATCTGCCAGAGAAAACTTTCCAGTGAACTGAATATCATGCAACAGCAATATTTATTCTTTCTTCACAACTGGGACAGTACAGGCTTCTTCCATACTCTCCATCCTTTGCTTTATACTGAAACTGAGGTGGGCAGATTGGATGTGTAGAATCATAGAATGGTTTAGGTTGGAAAAGACCATCAAAGAAAAGATCATCAAGTCCAGCCATTAACCTAACACTGCCATTCCACCACTAAACCATGTCCCTAAGCACCTTGTCTACCCATCTTTTAAACACTTCCAGGGATGGGGACTCAACAACTGCCCTGGGCACCCTGTTCCAATGCTTGACAACCCTTTTGGTGAAGAAAGTGTTCCTAATATCCAACCTAAACCTCCCTTCGTGCCACTTGAGGCCATTTTGTCTTGCCCTATCGCTTTTTGCTTAGGAGAAGAGACTGACACCCACCTGGTTACACCCTCTTTTCAGGCAGTTGTAGAGGGCGATAAGGTTTCCCCTGATCCTCCTCTTCTCCAGACTAAACAACCCCAGTTCCCTCAGCCGCTCCTCATAAGACTTGGGCTCCACACCACTCACCAGCTTTGTTGCCTTTCTCTGGACATGTTCCAGCCCCTCAATGTCCTTCTTGTAGTGAGGGGCCCAAAACTGAACCCAGTATTTGAGGTGCGGCCTCCACAGTCTTCCCCAAGCCTGTAGCGTTGCATGGGGTTGTTGTGACCCAAGTGCAGAACCTGGCACTTGGCCTTGTTGAACCTCATACAGTTGGCCTTGGCCCATCGATCCAGCCTGTCCAGGTCCCTATGCAGAGCCCTCCTGCCCTCGAGCAGATTGACACTCCTGCCTGACTTGGTGTCATCTGCAAACTTGCTGAGGGTGCACTCGATCCCCTTGTCCAGATCACTGATAAAGATATGAAACAGAAATGGTCCCAGTACTGAGCCCTGGCGAACACCATTATCTAGTATCTTATGATAGAAGGGGAGGATATTAATGTCTTGGAGATCAATTAATGTCATAAGTTAATTATCATTAATTATAATATACTAATTATTTTTATTATTACAATAATGTATTGATTAAGTAGTCGATTTGCTGGATGAAAACTCCCTGCAAGGTCTCAACAAGTTCCTATGGACTTAGATGTCCACAGATGGACCCATGCAGTACCATACATGCCTAAATAATCTGGAGCGGGGATTAAGAAAATAAAGTTAGAAAAAAAATAGACTTTTACAGTATTAAAAAGGATAAATATATAAAAAGCATCTATGAAGACCTGGTAGAACAACATTATTCATACTGAGTGATCAGACAGTAACATGGCACATGAAATTCCATATGGATGAATGAAACACTACATGCACATGTGGAAAAAAAAGGAACAGCTAACTTAATACAGAAGTTAGGATGGCTGAATAAGCAATTTGAGCATATAAAGGGAGAAGTCTTTCTGGTAATAAACTGTACAGTATAGGGACTAGGTACAGCTCATGACATTATTTTTTAATTTCCTTACAAACTGGTCACCTTTGCTATCTTGGGACTCCACTACAACATTGCCTTCTCTCTCAGTTTGATGACTCAATCAAAAAAGATGTTTTTCTTGTCTCTTGTTTTCAGAATTAGCACCCTCTTAGAAATGGAGAAATTCAGATTCTTTCAATACATTCTTTAAGGCTTCTGTAGATAACAGTAAGTTATACTTAGCCATATTTCAAATGTATCCTCACAAATTAAGGGGAAGTAAATATTTTAAAACCAAAGCTCAGATTCTTATGATGCATTTATTGCCAATGATTTTAATTGAGATACCTGATGATCACACTATAAGTGAAAATAGGGAAACTGTTTTGAAAAACAACACCTTATTAAATTGAGAATGAAACATTTTAATTCTTTGCTGAGGATTTGGTGTGCAAGAATAACACTGGGTAAAAACACTGGAATCTGTACCACAGGCAAACAGGAGTCAGTGCCCAGAAAACATCTAACCCTCATTAAATGAAGGATTTGATTTAACTATTGTATTGAATCCATCTGAATAGCTTAGCTGAAGGGGAAAAAAAGCACACTGCAAGAATAGAGTGCTAGGGAAATTATGGAGATTATGAAATGATTTAATGTTGTTTATGATTCCCAAGCATGTTCTGTAGTGTTCAAAAGCAAGTAATTAGGCAAAAGAAGGGAGAGAACTATGCATAAAAGGATATGGAACAGAAACAAGGTAAAGCATGTTGCCATGACTGAACATCATTCTTTAATGTCTACACATATCATCAGGGGCTTATTATTTATCTCAGTTTTGTCTTCTCCAAACACTTCCAGGTGATTTCCACCCCTACAAACTAGTAAAATATTAAGTAAGTGTTTAAATGCAACAAAATGGACAAATATACAGAATTTTATTGAAAGACACAGTATCAGTGTCACCACTGCAGGCAGAAAAAGCACAAAAATAAAGGCACAAGATTATCCATCTAATGTATGTTTAAACTGATCTTCTACCTTCTACCTTATTTTTACCACTGGTATCAATATAATACATCACAACATATAAAATACAATCCTGACTCAGCCCCTCTGTCATGCCAACCTCTGAATTTTGACTGTCATAACAGCTGCTAGGAATGGAATCCTATTCGCCAAACTTTACATCTGACATAGTCAAAAGTGTAGGCTTTTGATCATCACTTGGAGGCATTTCTGAAGAATGATTCATCTGATCTAATCCAGACATCTAAATTAGGTCTGATGAACTGCCCTCAGGATGTTATCTTTTCCCATTAACTATAAATAGTTTAAACAGTCAACCAAGTTGTAAATACCTGTATCTAGACCTTTTCCTGATAGACAAGATAGAAATAATTATGTCTTAGAAGAAAAAAAACGTAAGATTTAATAGCAACTGCCATGTCAAAAGTCTGGTTTAACCCCTGTAGTTCCTAAACTGGCATATGGTACCATAACCACACACCAAAGTGCATCGCCTAGCCAAGACACCCTCTAATCAGTGCGAAGATGCAATACAAGCAATAACATTGCACACTACCCTGTTCAGGTGTTTTTGCTTCGGTCAAGGAGATAAAATGGCAGAAGACAATACAAAGCTATAAGGTGGTGACACATTCAACCATTACAAACTTGGATCTGTTAAAATCGAGAGCAGATGGAATCCTTCCATCAACAATCTCCTAAATCACCTCAAAACCAGCACATGGAGCATTTTCTAAGTAAGGTGATAATGTTAAAATTTTAACATCAGGACAATTATGGTATTAACAATGGTTAATACTTATTTTAACAGTTACACCAGAGAAGTAAGAAAATGCCACAAAATTACATATGGACCTTAGACAACAATAAAAGCCAGATTTTCTGACAAAATCCTCTTAACCCTAGACCAGAAAAGGACTTGAATGATCTAGGCTTGACTGCCAAACTGCACCAAGCTACCTAGTCACCCAAATGCCTGAAGACTCCTCTGTTTTTCGGAATTAGCTATCCAGGCATTGGAACTCTGTGTATGTCCACTGCTTCTGCCAATTTAATGAAGATTAGTGAATTCCCATTTAGGGTACTCAAACTGACATTTCTTCACACAAATCATCAGAGGAATGCGATCCAGTAGATATACTGACCAGATATCTAGTAGGTTCAGAACAACAGAGAGCAGCAATTTAACTAAAAACTACACATGAAACAGGTACAATGTTTCATATATTGCCCAGTTATATGAGCTTTTCTCCAAACAGGAGATAAATTCAATTCTATCATTGTGACAAGACTGAAACCCACATCCACCATGTTTCAGCAAAGCAGAAAATATCTTTCTCCAGCCAACTGGCAAGGACACCAAATATAAGGAAAGAGGTCTGGTTTCTCTGCCCCTGGCCCCTCCACTGGAATTTTTACACAGTAGCAATCACATAAAATATCAGTTCTGAAAACAAGAACATCAGACTTCCTCTCTTTTACAGGGAAAAATAGTAAGATAGTTCATTCCTCTCTTGGCTCCATTCTTAGAACACACGGCCACACAGCAGCCCACCTACAGTGAAGAACAGTTCCATCAATCCTCTCTGTAAGGCAGCTAAATAGCGCAGTTTATCAGTAGAAAGATGGCCACCCTTCCCCCAACACTGTCAACTCCTTCAAAGAATAACATTAAAGGAGAAAAATTAGATGACTAAGTACAGGGAGACAGTTCCAGGCTATAAATGTTAATCTGTTCTAGATATCCAATTTAGTGGTACTTGATTAAGTTCCTCTAAGACATATCTCCCCAGTGTTTACACTGATAGGTTAAGAAGACATAGTCCAACCTATGCATAATACCCTCCCTCACTTGTAGCCTGGTGTATACTCTACTCAGCAGCACCTAATTTTTCCCAAACACTACACACAAAAAGTAGGTCTCTACTACAACTACAGGCTAGTTTTGCTGACACTGACCATCACCACTGTCGAATCCTTCCATAGATCTTGTACTGTTTGAGTGTCTTCCTCCTTGATATCCACAAACCTTGTCCAGACAGCTAAGTTTGATTTCATTTATCTCAGGGAGACTGTTAAACAGGAAACTCATATATTTTCTCTAACTTTGTTTTCCCTTTGACGGAAGTACGTGGCACAGATATGGAAATGGAGATTAACGTGACTAGTTGTTAAGTGTTTACTGGAACACAGGACTCCCGTTGTTCCGCACAGCATTCAAGAGGCTACAACATGATGTCTTCTGCCAGGGCAAATGAACAGCCTTAAGTATACTCCAGAAGCTTATACATCTATGAATATATGTGTCTTACCTCTCTCCATTCTTTGTTTCCAATGGCTTGTGTGTACAAGACACAGACTGTGAAAAGAAAAAAAAATGTTTTGTCATTTTCAGAATTTAACATATTCTTAATTTAAAGTGAACCAATTCTGTAGTCTGTTATGCTGTTGAAATCAGTAACTAGGACAATCAAATAGTAATGTTTTCCCTTGGTTTTGAGTATTCCTAACCAGATCAGCGACAATATGGTCTAGCTGTTGCAGAAATAAGCTAATAAATAGGGTGGTTCTAAAATGGGAGGCAACATCTAAGTCTGACCGCCAGCAAACTTGACAATCCTCAGCACTAAAATTGGATAAAAGCATGTCTTCATTAAATGTGGATGGTCTGGCTATCCTAGTTAATCTAATGCATAATTACCCTAAATTACGCTTCCTACAAGAGATGAGAAAATTGAAATAAAAACCAATGAGGACCCTACCAGAAAAAAAGACAGGGGAATATAAACAAATAAAAGTGGGAAAAGGAAAAAAAAAACCTTCTTGGGTTTTCTTCCTTAATTCTGCTTCAAATTTTTTATATATATTTAAGCATCTTGCATAGGCTTTTTTTTTTTTTTTTTAAATTAAAGCCTAATAAAAAAATCAACCAATGAGGTTTGTCAACCTAACCTGTTTTTGAAAGAGCAAGCAGCACAGTCCCACAGGCACCACTCTCCTTACAGATCTGTTTTTCCAGTACGGAACCCACTACACACTGATCTGCAGCTTCCATCACAGGGACTGGTGACAGAGGTACAGTGATTACAATCAGGTCTTTAAAATGTTATTATAAGTACAAATCATTTGCACTGAAGGAGTACTATAAACTTTATTTTCTACAGTTTTGAACTAGTTGCAGCTAACAACCATAAAGCATTTTTTACCTGAAACCCCACTACAACCCTTTTGTAAACAATGGAAATGCAGATATATGAACACATTTTTCCTGACAAATTCTTCTCCTGTGCCAATCATTATTTTTCAACAGAAGGTTAAAAATAATACTGGTTTGGGTTGCAGCCTTGAACAATAAAGGTAGAAGCCTGGTTTTGTTCTCAAGGAAATCAGAATCATCAACCAACCACAGCAAAATGAAGTCAAGCTTCAAACTACATTTTATTCTTACTTGAAAGCTATTTCATCCACACCAAGAAAAAAAAAAAGCAGTAGCAAATAAGAGGAGGAAAAGAAAAAAGCAAGTTCAATATTTTAGCTCGACACAGAAGTTAAAAAGTTAACACAATTCAACTTTTTTTTTCCAAATAAGATGCCTGGTAGAAGAATAAAAGCTTTTACCAAAAAATTCAAAATCATTCTCTGAAGACGCCTGTCTTTTCCCATTTATTCTAAATGAAACCTTGGGCAATCATGCTCCTAGCTTTGGTTCCTGCTTACAGTAGGATGAATCCAAACCCACAAGCCTATTTTTACAGCACTCTTCAGAGTAGATTGCTGAACTGTATCACAAGAAGAATGAAGTTAAATGGGAAAATGTGAGAAAAAAAAAGAATGAAATAGAAGCTATGAAATCAGCTACGGAAGTGTTTGAAGGTTACTGAACTTCTGTCTAACCTTTGCATCTGGTAAGATCTGTACCAAGGTAACCCTGGGAGAAGACGGACACATTATCAAAGGAAGTCTCCACAGACAAAAACAAGCAAAAAAATATTCTCTGAAAATACCCCTACTGGTAACATAAAATCAGGTAGGCTCTCATAAACATTCCTTTCACTTTCCCCACTAGAAACTTTTTTAAATTAACATTACCAGTTCTGCAATAATTAATATTTTCCAATTTTCAGTAGTGGTTTCCAAGGATGTAAATGTCTTCCACAATTACATCTGCTTTTGAAATTAGTATTTTGTCCTTTTTGCTAAGAGCTTACATCTAAGTTTTCAACTGAAAATTTCTCATACTTATAACCCCAAGTTGAGAATAGAACTGAAATTCATTTCGAGGAACAGACACTCTTCATGTGCACTTTTGCTATTCAGGTATTTGTATTGTCCAGATTTTTCTTAAACATCATTTTTCACTATTGATTTGCTGCTTTATTTTTTGTACTACAATCCTGCCCTGTGTATTAGTGTTAATACAGTAAATCAAGTAACAAATGTGCATTGCAGCTGTGGAACAAAAAGCATATTAAAAATGAGAGATTTAATATTGAGGAGAAGAAAGCAATAATACAACTGTAAAATATCCACTACTACCAAATTTTCAGAAAAGAAACATTCTGGCACTACCTTACCTCCCTAGTTTATGAAGCCAAATAAAAAACCAGCTATGAACAAAAAGACTAAAAAAAAAATTACCGTAGGATGATTTTAGTCTCCTACTAATGGCTGATGAGATGGGAGTCACACAACATAAAAGGGTTAAAAAACAGGTGTAAAGCTCCACCTGAAAACTAATTCAGTTTCCTACTCTATTCGTACTTATTGGAAGGCTGCTCACACCTGTCTGTCTGTTAGAATCCTAGTTTCCAAAATCAGTTTCTTCATAGTCATTTTACTATCACTTTGGTTTTTTGATCTTTGGAGAACTTCTAGCAAGCAATGCTATCACTCTCACCTTTTCATTGCTGAGGCATTAGTAGACTTCTATTCCCCTCCACTCCCAGTGGCTCCCCAGTGCTTCCAGAGGTATACTCCAGGAGTGGAACCACCTCTCTAGTTTAAGAATCATTTATATAAAACCTTAAATGAGGAGAAAAGAGCTAAGAATTTGTAGTATGACTAGCAATTTTCTGCTATTTATTTAGGCTGCAGATGCGGCAGGTACCTTAAATATAATGAAGATATAGACTAATAATTGTCTCATGTAATATTTATTTTAAGTGCAAGATGCAAGTTTGACAGTGGCACATAATTGTGCATCTCAAACTGACATTTCAAAAAAAAGTCAGTGCTAATGAAAGCTATAAAAAAAACATACATTCCAGACTTTCTGATAAATACTCTGCAAATTCAGAATAATTTAAAAACCACTTCTATCTTTCCTCTAAAACTCACACCAGAAACTTTCAGGAAACCATCCATGATACTGGTCTCCATCACTGGTAATATTCACTACCCTTAGAGGCCCTCAGAGACATGGTTTTATAAAGACCCTGATAGCAATCTAATTACAATAATCTCTCAAAAATTTCTTCAAAGTCATATCCAACTGGAGAAATGCAGATAAATATGCTGAAGTTGATCTAAAGCACTTGAACTGCTCAAATCAAAGATCTAACGCTACATGAAGCAACCAATTTTTTTTTGAGCAAAAAATAGTTAACAGCGTTGTCATGTGGGAGGGGAAAGAATAAAGTGGGATTAATGGGAAATTCTTACATTTCAAAAGCCAACACATCATGCAACCACATCCTAATACGGAGCTGAACAACCAGTTCTCTTGCAACCTGAAAAACTGAGGGAGCAATGAGGAAGTTCAGAGCAGCACACTGATGAAGAGTAACATACACTCACAAGGAAGTTGGCTTCTCAGCAGAGAAGCCTTTTGGAAGGCTTTGCCATATGAGCATATGAGGGAAGATACATCCACACCTATAGTCAGAAATATTAACATTTAGTAATTTTTAACTCTGGACACTGATACCACAGCATCAAATTCAAGATAAATTTAATGAAATCTTGCAACGAAGAAGGTGGAAGTGTCAACAGTTATCACTCAGATGTAGATTCATTTCCCAACATATCATAGCCTGCACCTTATTTTCCCAGATAGTCTGGGCCTCCCTTACCCTACTCTGATCCTTCCCCACTCAATGCATATATACTTATCCTTTAGCCTGGCAACTACTGTTACTGCTTGACTACCCAGACCTTAGCAAAGCCTTCGACATCGTCTCCCACAGCACTGTCCTAGAGAAGCTTGCGGCTCATGACTTAGACAGGCGTACTCTTCGCTGGGTAAAAAACTGGCTGGATGGCCAAGCCCAGAGAGTTGTGGTGAATGGAGTTAAATCCAGTTTGCGGCTGGTGACAAGCGGTGTTCGCCAGGGCTCAGTACTGGGACCATTTCTGTTTCATATCTTTATCAGTGATCTGGACAAGGGGATCGAGTGCACCCTCAGCAAGTTTGCAGATGACACCAAGTCAGGCAGGAGTGTCAATCTGCTCGAGGGCAGGAGGGCTCTGCATAGGGACCTGGACAGGCTGGATCGATGGGCCAAGGCCAACTGTATGAGGTTCAACAAGGCCAAGTGCCAGGTTCTGCACTTGGGTCACAACAACCCCATGCAACGCTACAGGCTTGGGGAAGGGTGCTGGAGAGCTGCCCTGTGGAAAAGGACCTGGGATGTTTGTCGACAGCTGGCTGAATATGAGCCAGCAGTGTGCCCAGGTGACCAAGAAGGCCAACAGCATCCTGGCTTGTATCAGCAATAGCATGGCCAGCAGGAGTAGGGAGGGCAGTGATCGTCCCCCTGTACTCAGCGCTGGTGAGGCCGCCCCTCAAATATTGTATTCAGTTTTGGGCCCCTCACTCCAAGAAGGACATTGAGGGGCTGGAACATGTCCAGAGAAAGGCAACAAAGCTGGTGAGTGGTGTGGAGCCCAAGTCTTATGAGGAGCGGCTGAGGGAACTGGGGTTGTTTAGTCTGGAGAAGAGGAGGATCAGGGGAAACCTTATCGCCCTCTACAACTGCCTGAAAAGAGGGTGTAACCAGGTGGGTGTCAGTCTCTTCTCCTAAGCAAAAAGCGATAGGGCAAGACAAAATGGCCTCAAGTGGCACGAGGGGAGGTTTAGGTTGGATATTAGGAACACTTTCTTCACCAAAAGGGTTGTCAAGCATTGGAACAGGGTGCCCAGGGCAGTTGTTGAGTCCCCATCCCTGGAAGTGTTTAAAAGATGGGTAGACAAGGTGCTTAGGGACATGGTTTAGTGGTGGAATGGCAGTGTTAGGTTAATGGCTGGACTTGATGATCTTTTCTTTGATGGTCTTTTCCAACCTAAACCATTCTATGATTCTACACATCCAATCTGCCCACCTCAGTTTTCCCAAACATAACAACACATCAATTCCGTTTCAAGAAAGTCTTAACCACAATAATGTTGTCCTTTTCCTCCTGCTACTGAATTTTTTCCATGATCCTGCACCCAGTTCTAGTAGGGGCTCCTCATTACTTTTCACTGACCAGCTTCGATACCTTCCAGGCAGAGATTCCTGAAGGTCCTTGTGTCCCAGCTGTCATGAGATTCTTCTCATTGTTACTGTCTTCCATGGGGAGGTCCTCTAGGGGAAGAGTTTTTACCTCTCCACTCTTTCTATTATCATACTCAGGAGTCACAGGGCTCCACAAAGAGAGGACATTCCATCCTGACCACGGTGCTGCTACCACAGCTGCACAGTGGCTCAGTTTGGCTAGCCAGTGCATGGGAAGAAAATGATTCTGTCTAACTGTCATTAGAAGAAACACGCTAAATTCTTTAGTCTGTATCTCCTTTGTGGGTCTTATCCCTGTCTCATCAGGGAAGCACTCCAAGAAAATAATAAAAAAATGGGGTTTCTCAAAAATATTCCTAAAAAAATCGTCTCCAAACTGGAAGAACAGAATGGTCCAAATGCTGCAGTAAATCAATATATATGACTTGCTATGACACCACTGAGGAGCAAGCACGGTCAGTAAGAGACTTCAATATTGTTTAAAATACTTTATGGACAAGGGCCATCTAATTCTGTCCCATCTATATCTAATATTTCTACATTATTTTTGTAACCTCTAGAGGGGCAAAGTGCCAGCTTCCTCTTGGCATGAACATTCTAGACTGGATGGAAGTGGTCAGAATTGAAATAAATACTGAGTAGCAATTACAGTATCAAAAAAAGGCTAAGCAAACCTCCTAAGACAACCAGAGAAATCACAAGTTCCTTTTTAATTTCAGGACAAGGCTGTTTATGTGGACATGGGAGTCAACTATATCCATGTGTGTCCCTCTCTGAGAAAAAGGCCAAGAAGATAAAATCAGATTTTCACTATCAGTATGACAGGTAACTGCACTGGAGTTTGAAAAGCATATTAAAATTGGCCTAGTCAAACCCAACGAGACCTCAACACACAAGTGACTCTGCATGGTTCTACCTGGTATGAGATCTAGTGGTTGCAAATTCAGTGGGTATAAAAGTGGATCTTGCAAAAGTGGTAGGATGCTGGTTTTGACACCTTTTTTAGCTAACAGGATAAAGTTATTGTATACAGATCTGCCTAAGAATGGCCTTTGTCCAAGCAAACAGACACTGAGGAAAGTTATACTGCTGTACTCCCAGCTACAGAAAAGAACAGCACTTTTTATACCACACCCTTACCCCTTTCGCTTTTACAGTAGGGCTGTATCTCTGTGCTCAACTAAAGGAAACCAGGAGCAAACAAACTAAACTGTCTAATAAAAAAACCTGCAGAATACTAAAACTAAATGTATGCTGTTTAGAGAGCACCCACAATCAAAGCTGCTTTGCCAAGTAATTTTTTGAGTGCAAATACAGTACAGGCGCTTCCAGAGCCAACAATTCCCCCTACTCTCTTTACCAAGGACAGTATTTCTGTATTCCACGTTTTTGTGCTGCTAACCTGTGACAGAGAGGCCTGATTGGCAGCATAACTGGGTACTCACAATTTGAGACCAGACCTCTAAAGCACACCACCAATTTGAGTGCTTTAAATAAGCTATTTACCAGAAACAAGAAAGCAGTACGTTTTGAATTGATAGGCAAGGTTATGACACTTTAAAAAATACTTCTGTATGCTTTGAATCTATAAAAAATACCACCAGTTTACTGCTCGGAAATATTTTTAAGATAGACATTAAGATTCCTTTAGGTTTTCCTACCACTCTGTTTCCTTGTGCCCCTTACCCAGCATGGGTCTCCCACCAGCCACAATTGCTCGGGTTTGCCCACCCACCCCAGCCTGGGTTGCCCACCCACCCCAGCCTGGGTTGCCCACGGGCCAACAGGCCCTTCAGAGGTGTACTGCCTTTCGCATGGCGCGTCCCCTTCCAAGAACGCATCTCCAGCAGTGTGTCTTCAGAAGCGTGGCTCCGGCAGTGTCTTTGTCGGCTGTGTCTCCAGCTCCTCTCTGCTGATGGTTTTTTTCTAACCTATGTTTGGGCAGGGGCACTGAAGCTCTGGCGGGCCATGGTTACCCACACGGGTAACCCACACCCCTGCAATTTATGCCTAATAGAGTTCCCTACCTGATAAAAACTTGAAGCGCTTGTCCCTAATATTATTTGAGCTTAAAAACTAGATGCCTTATCACTTTTGTCGAAAGGCATCTTGATTCAGTTAAGAGATCTCTGAATCCAACTTATCAGGGGCAACAGGTCACTGACCACTCTTCAGAATTGCTTCACCTAGACAACTGAGGTTTTATTAACCAGCTAAATACCAGTAATATGCAAGACACTCAGTTCTGCTTCTGCATGATCTCCCTATCCTGTGTCTCCTTTTAAAAAAAAAAAAGTTTTATAGGTTAGGAAGGTCAAAGGTATTCCTCACTTCATGCAGTTTTTCCCCAGGAAATAGAAGCTCTTCCCATCAAAAGTCTATTGTGGAATCTCTCTCAAGAGATGCCTCTCAATAAACTTTTGGTTCAGAACAAACACAATCTCACAAAAGTACTCAAATGTTCCATGCTGTCGTATGACCCTATGTTCAAGTACATCCCATCAGGACGTGGTTATATGTCCAGACACTTGATACAAGTCTATGCATCTCGGGTTATTTCCAATGTCAGGAAGCACAATACATAGTATTCTAAGGAAGAAAAGCCCAGGCTTAAAAAAACGAAATGAATTTACAGATAAAAATATATAAAGAGTTGTAGGGAGACAACATGACCCAAAACACCATAATCTCAGGACTAGTCAATTAACACTACAGAAGTACTTTGATTAAACACTATCAGAAAAATAGGAAATCTTTTGTGGTCTCAGTTCCTTGAGAAAATTTTTATAAAGCGTCCAATACAGGAAGACAGTCATGGATTTTAAGTCCCATCATATATAAATTCATAGGCACAAGAGTTTTTTGGGATCCAGTCAAGTATCAATAAAAGTTAAGGGGAAAATGGGTGTCACTATCTTACGTATCTGAAAACATTAATTCATAAACCATCATACTATTTTTGATGAGGAAAGGTCTGTGTTTCCCAGAGATGAATTAACTTAATTTTATTTTTTCAGCATTTAATTCTAAGATTAGTGAACACTATGTACTAGCAGCAACAAGTAGTTTATTTAGCTTATTTAGCAGCTTCTAGTTTATTTAGAAGTTTGCTTACTAGCTTTGAAAGGGATCTAGAATAACAGATACTTAAAAAAAGAAAAATAAATACTTTTCTGCATTTATTACTTGTAGGAAAATATAGGCTGACTGCTAAATAAGGGACCATCTAGCTCAGGAAAGCAATATTGAATACACAGTCTTTAAAATTCCAGTTCATACAACAGAAACTATGAGTGTAACTTATTTAAGTGTAACTTAATCACTTTAAATAATTTTCACAAAGACAAAAGAAACCTAACTGGCACTGAAGAAAATCATCCACCTAATTTTTAATCCAGTGGTTACACATTTGGAATATATAATGAGAAGAAACGATAAAATGCTATGTACTTACTCGGATCAGATTTAGAAAATGTATCTCTGTCCAAAAGGTTTCTGTTAAGAAAAAAAAAAAAAAAGATAAAAATAATCTTATTTATAAAAAATGGTGAAAGATACAAATCAGCTACCAATGCATATAAGATTTTACAATTTTGATTGAGAGTCACCTTAGTTTTCTGACATCCTAATATGTAAGATTTACTTGAAGTCAGTCAGCACTAACACTTGAGTCTTCTTATATTTCATTTTATTACCGATTTTGGATTTAAGGAAACTGTGGCTCATATACTCCAATACCATGAAGTGAAAAGCAACATACAACAAGCACATTAAATATATATAATGGACAATCAGGAACAGAAATACCTTTGAATCACAAACTTCTACCAGAGATTAACATGCTAATTGAACCCAAAAAACTTTAGACTTTACTTAAAAGAATGGCTATGAGATCTCAGAGCCATTAACAAATATCTGTAAGAATCTGTCATGAATGAGTAAGGTAAAGAAAGCTAAAGCACACACAGGACATACACAAAAATTAGGAATTTTCTAAATATTTACCAAATACCTAGGAAAAAGTAGTAAGAACTAATTTCTTTGTTACACAATGCAGCCCCAATATTGTAGCCACACTTCCGCCAACTGAGAATCATACACAGATGAGGAGGCTCAAATTAACAATAAGTCTAGAGAAGGACTGACCAGAAAACCATTCTCAGAAGTTACCAACATTTAATCATTCAAAAATTTAAAAAAAACCCCAATTATCTTAACAAACTAAAAAAAATTGCCTGAAAACAGGATGCCATTGAACAGGGACAAGAAAGAGTTATTAAACTTAGGCAGGTAGTTCACGTTCGGTATTAATCAACAGCAAAAATGCTGCATAGCTGCATATAAACCGGAGGTACAGCAGTTATGTTAAAAATGGTTCTAGACATCACAGTAGATCATAAACTGAATGCACGTCAGGAACCTTGTGCCTTTTGGGAAAAAGGCATTCTGTAATACACGAACAAAAATGGGGCTTTAGAGTAATTGTCTGGTCTTCATAACACCGGTAAACACTCAATTCAAGCAACAATGTTTTGGGCACTCCAATTTCTTGCAATCTAAGATAGACATGGAGCCACCAGAGCCCAGCAGAAGCAGAAATAATCAGCAGTCTATAGAATATACCTATAAGTAAAACGCTGCTGCAAATTGAAGCTGACCTCCATGTAGACAGAACAAGTAGGTACAGGTTTAAGCCCAAATGGAATCTTCTGCACTGGAGGCACAGAAGCTGAACTTTATTCCATTGCTTTACCATCATTCATTATTAAAGGTGGCCAGACACGATGTGAAATCTCCACCACTGAAGGTCTTTAAGAACATGTTAGGTAGCTACAAGTCCTAATAAGTTCTTTGATCCTACCCTGGAGCAAGAGGAAGGATTAAATAACCAGTTTACATCCCTTACAGCTTATTATTTTTAATAATTAGAACAGTCTCTTCAAAGGTCACCATTTATTACTCTCATTCAGATCTAAATCACATTATTTTTGTGCTACTGAGCAGTGCTGAAAAGCGTATTAATATGCTGTTCAATACAGGTGTTCTAAGCAGCCCACTTGGACTTCAACAAGGCAAAGATACTGTATTCCCAGCTTAGGTACTGCCAAGTCCACATTTCAGAGCAAGCAATATGAACAAAACATAGTTTTATAAGAATCTTGGGTGCATCAGTTTTATTTACGTTAGCCAAAGTAAGCACTAGGATTAAAATTAGTATTTGTGAATGAACATGAAGTCTGCACGTGCTGCTACTTCAGAACTTCTCTAATTGATTCAGAAGCGGGATTTGTATATACGCATTAGATTATACTCAGAGAGACTGTATTCCATCTTAACCAAAAATGTGCAAATATAAACTGAAAAATTAACAAACCCAGGAAAATCAGCGATTCCAAGTCGGTATTTGACAATGACCACTACTAACTGCTTGAAAAGACAGTACAGTAAGTTCTGCAGCATCAGAATTGCCAATTCAAAATGAAAATTGCCCCCTATTACTCTTTGATTATACATACCTAGATATGCCATTAATTCATGGTAACTAGAATTGGTTTTATTGCCCAAAATGAATTGCTATAAAAACCTAGAATTAGAATTATATGAAAGAAATAGTACATGAGGCTTTGGGATAGGCCTTCCATGCTCACCATTAGGATTCCAAGCAATTTTAATTCCTCCGCATAAATACTATACAATGATCTCAGAATTGGTATGTTAGTGTTTGTGACTGCAGATTAAGATTAAACCATTTTAATGACTCTTATACTGAGCTAAGGTGCTTTGAGTTTTTAAAAATATTTTCTATTCTTATTTTGTTCCTTTTTAAGTTTCAGTTTTTCTTCTGCTATTTTCCCCATATACGTAAGAACATAAGACTGGCCATAACAGGTATGGTAAAGCTCAGTCTATCCTGATACTCTTACTCCAGCAGTGGCAAAAAGTAGCTACCACGGGAAAAACATAAAAACAAGTTAAGAATCTGCAATACTTCCTGAGAATGTTCCTGTCACCAACCATTTTGCTGCTCAGGGACTGCTTGAATTAAGAACATTTCCACATAGACAGTATCACTGAAAGGATTGTAAGGGTTGAGATACCAAAGTTTGACATTGTAATTCAGGTCAGTAAGTGTCATTAATTCACAGTTGTGAACTAGTACAGTTTGTAATATCCCCAATTCGACCCTTCATATATTTTACCATAAATAAAAAACATCTTCAGCAAAGTTTGCAGACATGCCTGATCTTCCAAATCATTAATAACCAACCAAAATAGTAACATAAGAACTTAACAAGCTGTTCAAGCAATACAGGAAGTTTCAGAAGGAACTTAAAGACTAGTGCCAAAAAAAAAAAAAGTATGATTTGTCTGCTAAATCACCTGCTCAGTTTAACTTGTGCATTTTCAAACTCACAAACTCAGAAACCACAAATATCTGAAACTTCTGTTTCTTCCTCCTAATCAAAGTATCAAGAGAAACAGACTCCTGTTTTGACTGAACATGGTGAGTATTTTTTTCTATTCCCATAAAGAATGCAAAAAGAGAAGGAATTGCTATCAATTATGAGGAAGAAAAAAAAAAAGTCATACACTTTTACCTGGAGAAACATGCACATCAAATACCTACAGCAAAGTCCATGAACAATCTGTGCAGAAAGCATTATTCTACCATCACAGAACCTGAAGGAATTCATTCTACACCTGCCCATTCTGGAGTGGACATTCAGAAATGGTTGCAATAGCTTAGATGACTAAGGGAAAAAACCAAATAGGAGCCATGGCAATAATGCCTACATAATCTAAACTGGAAAGCACAAAACAGATTAGAAATGCTGGAATAAAGATTTATTTATCTGTATGACAGCAGTTTCCTGGGGGGGTGGGGGGTGTTGGGAAAGCAATCAGTAAATAAGTTAAAACATATTTAGCTATGCCTTGCAGAATCCCTTTGTTCACACAGTTTCATTAACTCCATAAAGAATTGTGGAAATAACAGTTTCTGCCCTGTGCCTTGCTTCAAAAATTGTTTTCAAATAGAAGAGACTATTTCAGTTGGAAGGGACCTACAATGGCCTTGTAGTCCAACCGCCTGGCCACTTCAGGGCTGACCACAACCTGAAGCACATTATTAAGGGCATTGTCCAAATGCCTTTTAAACACTGACAGGCTTGGGGCATCGGCCACCTCTCTAGGAAGCCTGTTCCAGGGTTTGACCACCCTCTCAGTACAGAAATGTTTCCTAATGTCAAGTCTTTCATACTATATTTCATGTAAAAACATCTCACGCGTGTAAATCAGATACTTCAAGATTCACTGATCTAGTTAGCAGTGGTAGCTATACAGAAATCATTACAGTCTATGTTGCTTTGTACAATCTCATCTACTCTATGCATTATACATGTGTTGGCAAAGACTGACCTACATTAAAAAGTAACATTTACTCACCTAGTTCACATATACTTTAGTTCAAATTTTATTTTAATGAACTTCCTGCTCTGTAATTTTTTAGTTTAAAATGTAACCCTTTGTTAAGCCCAGCTGCTAAGCAGAAGTAAATCCAGTTCCCCCTTCAGAAAATACAGAATTCTGGCACCAAAGAACAGACCACAGTAATTATAGAACTGAATAGTTTAAAATACATTTCTCTAGTTTCAAAAAAAAAAAAAAAAAAAAAAAAAATTAAAACACCTAAACCCAACTGTGTTCATATGGCTGGAAAAATCTTATTTATACATTGCTTTCAACAGCTCTGAATTCCTTAATGATAAAAATGTGGTTTACTTCAGAAGAATTTATCAGAATCTCTTCGGGTGCTAAGGTTTTACGTTTCTCTTCATCTTTACATTACACTTAATTGCATGTGAAGATTCCTTGATTGTGAAACAAAGCACTCAGCAGTTTGCAAACACAAAAGTTAGTTACCCACGCAAAATTATTTTTAATTTTTAGAAAACATAGATTTTCAATATATTATATTCTCATATAAGCATACACTACTTTTGTCACGGTACACTTGCATCACTCCGTGCAAAGAGGAATCGTCGCTAGTTCATTAAACAGTTCATTAAACGAATGCATTTCTGCTTTCCTCACTTAATGCTGGGCCCATGTGCCTTTTCCAAGGAAGATCCTGAAAAAAGAAGCATCTCCTCACTTTTTACTGTGCAGAACAGTATTCATCCTACTACCAGTTGTAACATAATCGTATTACATCCTAGTAGTTGCTGTCCCTCAGCCTGAACTGACATTGCTGGACTTGCAACGGTCAGTCCTGGGTAAGGCAACGTATGATCCAAAGAGCCTACTTGAGTGAAGAGTCCACTTGACTTCTTGCAGAGTAATTTCACAAACAACATTTCAGTTGTAGTGCTAGCTTAAGTAGTCACCCTTCCCTAGTTATTTACACCCTCCTTCTGTATTCCATCAGAACACAATAAAAAGCAAGCTATTAACCTCCAGATCTCTAGATTCAAAATGCCCTGGACCTAAAAGCAGAT